TGCCTCGCGTGCCCCTAGCCCTGTCTAAGGACCTAAAAGGCAGTAGGCATTCCGAAAAGTGGCTCCCCTCATCAGAATCTTCGGGAGGGGCTTCAAAGCCTGGCGGCTCCAGGCCTGTATCCGATTCTTCGGAACCTTCGAGCCCCCCTCCGAAGCCCCCAACAAGCCCCCCACAAGCCCATTGAGGTGCCGGATGGTTTGCGGAAGCCTCAGTCGGCATGGCACGTGTTTAGGACTTAGGCTGCTTCTGTGTTTTTCCTTTGGCCCTTGAGGAGTCTTGGAGTTTGCAGCTTGTTATATTAGGCTGGAAATGCATGTTGTTTTGCTGCCGAACCTGGTTTGCAAGGTGTCCGTCTACTTGGACGAGAACCTGCGAGTGAATCGTGATTCGCGGGGCGACCTAGCCATTTATATGCGTGCATAGAGAGAAAGAGCCGATGCAGACACACTGGTTTCCGTGCCTGCTTTCGGTGGGCGTGCAATGAAATAAACTCAACAATGTGGGTTCGTTGGCTTATGCGCATTGTCTTTTCCATGCTTATTTTCATGATGATCTTTTTTTCCCGCTTTTTTGAAGGTCGAAAAAAGACACGACACAAGACTGTGAAATATATGAGCCCGTGTCTCTGCATTTCTTAAATGCGAAGCAGGCTCAAGTGATCAGCCAAGAGCAAGAGCAACATGTTAAACTCAACATAGCCCAGCCTTCATTCGCTTGCAAGCATTGGGCCAGTGCAGAGTTACTCACACAGCTTGTGATGATCTCAATGACGTTGGACTCCAGCTTGTAAGATGTAAGTTGGACACGCTACAGCTGGTGCAACGATGTCCCGCAAGAAGGAGAGCACCTTGCCGCTTCACTGGGCTCTGGTTTAGGATTCCTGGGCACTTCTGCGCAGCCGGCATGTGTACCCTCACCGAAGCCCTGGCCCCGCCCAACCAGAAACTCAAAATGCTTAACACAAAATGTTGCCGTGCATAAACACACTGAAAGGCGTCCCACGCCCTCAGCCTCTCAAATCCCAAACCTTCGTCGCAGGACGAAGATGCACCAACTAAGCTTGGGCCACAGCTGCTCTTGAGGACTTCAGGGAGGTCAGCTGGTTCGGGCTCGGATTCACGAACCTAAGGTACCGGAGCGTCGAATTTGGGGGTTTGGGACTTCGCTTTCTACGTCCTAAGGGTTCGAAGAATCGTCAGGTTTGGGAGTTTAGAAGGAACCGGATGCCCCTCGACAAGGCAGTTGCTGGGAGCCCGAGCCGCTGACAGCTCTGCTCTCTTCAGGTTTCCTGTTCCAACAATGAGTCAGAACGCCCTCGTCAAGGGCCTCTTCCCTCAAAGCCGAAGTGATGGTCTGGTTCTCAAGGTTCGATATTAAGGGAGACAGGTCCCGAAGGTGGGTTCTTAGGGGTGATTCAGAGTGCAGTTAACCTTTACTTGTCCTTTCGTACACCATCAATCTCATGACGCCGTAACTGCCCAAGAGTCCGTCCATGAAGAGCACCCATTATAATAGTATAGGTAAGGGACGCACGCTGTAACATTATTAACGGTTGCGTTTCATGCGTACGGACACACCACTCATTGAGACCGCCCCAATAAAAGCCCAATATAATAGTAAATTCGTGAGCGAAGCGCATGTAGACCTGCCTTGGTTCACGCCTTTAGTATTATATAGTAGGGCTTTTGCACTGCGTTCACTCACTCGCTGCGTGCACTTCGTTTTCTTGTTCACTCACTTCGTACTTTGAACTTTCATAAGTCCCGAACCCAAAACTCCCTTCAAACCCAGCTTTCTGAGCCACATGAACCTGAGACCCTTGCGGCCCCAAGCCCTGAGCCTCTGAGGGAGATGGCGCCAGAACGGGAGTACCCCCTGGATCCGGAGCGCGGGATGGGTTTTTCGCGGTTCCTGGCGTAAGGGCTCGCCGGTTTCGTGCTTGTTGGGGAAGTAAACTTTTGACCAGGAGGGTGTTTGGGATTTTGATGGCGGTCGTGGGCTCTTGGGTTGGGTGCCGTGCGAGGCGAGGGGGCGTAGGGGGATGGAGGGTGTAGAGTGTAGTTTGAAGGCTACTTTGGGCATGTGCAGGGTCAGGATACTTCGAAGAGTCCGAGTGTTTGGGAGCGCCCAAACCCCTCGGTGTGAACCCCAGCCAAGCAAGGCTTATGCGCCCTCAACACCCTCAAAGCCCCTGATGAAACCAAAGCCCAAACTGGCGAAGAGGGCGAAACTCCAAACCACAAACCTGAAGAGCAAATATATCCTTTGAAGAGATGGCGGCCTGCCCACGACACCCCCCGCCGTTCGCCGGTCGTTCTTCGGCTCTAAGCACATATAAGAGCAAAGATCCGCTTCTCTCTCTGTTGTCCTCTTTCTTTCCACTTCCACTTCCCGGAAATGGTCTCGGCCTTAGATCCGCCTGCCCAGGGGGTAGGGTTTAAGGCTTAAGGGTTTATGGTTTTGCTTGCCTGGGTTTTGAGGTTTTAGGGGTTTGGAGCTATTAAACGTCGAGGGCGTAATTAGGGCTTTGGGGTCGAGGGCCCTCGGAGGTTCTGCAGCCAACAGCCGTCAATCGGTCTTCTTGCTCGATCTTCTTCCTTCCAAGAGCTCCGGGCCTTGCCAGGTGGGGGTTTACGATGCAGTGTACCTTGTTGGGGTCCGTTTATACAGGAATCCTACTATTTGGGGTCTATTTGGGGGGTCACACTGATCGAAGCGTTTTCATTTTGAATTTCGTTCTTCTTTGTGTCCGGAGATGTTTGGTGAACGCCTCAGCGTTCACGTGGCTCCATGCGCGGTGGGCGTTTGTAGGGCGTTTCGGGGGCCATGTGGATCGGGGACTCGGAACCCAAAACCCTAGACTTTAAACTGTGTCACCAAGGTGTTTGGAGTTGGTGGAGGCCTGGATACATTCTTCCCTCAGGTTGAACGGCCCAGGATTCACCGTTAGCCGGTGCACGAAGCGCGCAATCCTCCGCCCCCGGGGCTGTTCTCAAGGTCCTCTAAAGGGAGGATGAGCCGAGGACTTCCCTAAGAGGGGATCCCCCTAAAGAACGGAACCCTTCCTTGGATACAGAGCTCCCTTCCACTCTTCCAGCTCCAGGCCGAGCTGAGCCTGAGGATGCCACCCTGAACAAGTACAGCCGCGGGCTCATCTCAGAGGGCTTACCACTTAGTTTTGTTCAGAGGGACTTAAAAAAACTAAACATAACCCTTTAAGCGAACAATAGAAGGGAATTCCTTGCCAGGAATTAGTACGAGACAATTTCGACAGAACTCCATGCCTTGATAAGTCACCCCACACGCCTACGCGCAATGCTGGCTGCTAGATTTTGGATGGGTGCTCCGGGAGAAGAAGATAGGGTTTGGGGTTTGGGGCTCACTTCCTCTTGGCCAGGGCCTGAGGCCTCGCACTACACTGTGGCGTCCTGCAATGCTGGACGGGGCATGCCTTTTGGAAAACACTTGCAGATGAGCTGTTTCATACTGGGCGGCCGAGAACCCTAAACCCCAAACTTGACATGTTCCCCCTTACAGCAGCAGTCGAGAATACCGGTTGTGTCGAGGGCATACTTTGCTCGCAACTGCCTACAACAAACCCCGAAACCCCGAAGCTCCTAAACCCCTGAGCCCCAAACCCCGAGGCCTGTGCTGGTCATATCCAGAGCTGCAGAAGGCCACAGAGAACTTCTCCGAGCGTGGGCCTTCTTATCCGCTTGAGCTGGGTGGGAGTTCTGGGTTTTGGGGTTTAGGGTTTATAGCGTTCAGGTTGAGTTTCCTGGTCGTGCTTTTGATATTCTGGCCGTTGGCAGGGCGCGGGAGCTACCCAGTTTGAGCTGCAAAGAGCTGACGCTAAACCCTTGACTTCACGAAGCCCAAGACCATCAAGACCCTCGACGTGAAGTAGACTCCGTAAGCTCCCAAACGCTATCTGACGGACCCAACTCCCTAAACCCTCAAGCCCCTAAGCGTGCATTTTCTTTAACTTTAACCCTTAAGCCCCAAGCAAGATCCGAACCTGCAAGGTCTCGCCGGATGGGCGAGGGCGGCTTTGGAACAGCCCTTGGGCTGCAGACTCTTGACCCTTTTGGGTGTCGGGTTTTGGGGTTGGGGGGCCATGCATGAAAGTTGCAAAATAGACAGGTTTAGGTTCAGGGGGGTTGGGGTTATGGGGTATTTGGGGAAAGAGGCAAACCATGGCCTGAACCCTGATGTTCCTTGCATCCAGGGGCTTGACCTGCACCCTCAACGGCTCTAAAGGGCCCTCTACGCCATGTCGATCGCTTTGAGCTTGTTCTGGGTGGAAGCTTTTGGCCTCCACACCCAGCGCCGAAAGCCTGGAAGACCCCTAGGTGTTAGGGTTTGCATGCTGTTTACGGACCTTTTCGAAGTAGGCTTTCCCGAGAAAGAGAGCCTGCTTGAGAGGCAATTCTAGTGGGGTAGCTATAACTCCTTCTGAGCATGATGCCTCACTTGGGTCTAATTGTAAACGCTTGCGCGCGCCGCCCTCGGCAGCCGGGCCGGCCAGGACAGGAAAGGAGGAAAGAGGGTTTCGCAAAAAAAATGGGAGGAAGGGCAGCGGGTCAAAGGGGGTGGGGGGGGGGGGGGGGGGGGGGTGGGGTGCGTCAGAAAATTTTGGATGGGGAAGGGTTGGGTTAGGGGGAAGGAGGCCCGATCCGGGTCTGTTCCAGACGCTTCTCGGCAGGAAGCCGAGGCGAATTAAATCTGAACCTGCAAGTACATCCCCAGACCTTGACAAAGAATCCCCAGCACGATGCCCGAAAGCTTGACCTCAGACCGGCTGCCGCTTGTTTGATCACTGAACAATCAGGAACCAGCCGGCGAATCAGACACTAAACTTGCCACTGCGAGGCAGAACCCAACCGAATTATTTGAGTCAGAAATCGGCAAATCGGAAACTCTCCGCATCAACTGCATCAGAACTGGGGAGGGGGAGGGGTTGGGGGGGAGTATGGGGGAGTAATCGTGTCCGGAAGGAATGCCAAAGCATCAGAAATCCGACCCCTTCCCGGTTTCCGTCTCCTGGGCTGCGATCTTCAAACCACCAAGCCCTAAAGCCGAAGCTCTGCCTGCTGGAACCTCCTGCCGTGCAGTCGAGGTCTTCCGCGGGGAGCAGCCGGACGGAACAGAGGTGGCGATCAAGGCACCTCCAGGGCTCAGGTTGAGGGTGAGGGGTTCAGGGTTTCCTTGTACGAGTAGGTGTGTTGTTTTGGCTCCTTTCTAGGGTTCTGTGAAGGTGTTTGCTGTGTCCTTGTAGCCATATGCCGAAGCGGCTAAAGTGGACAACGGTTTTGGACAGTATGTTCTTGTGTGGGTTTGGGGTTTAGGGTTTAGGGTGGAGGGAGAAGAACCCCTTAAGCCTCCCTCCGTGCTCCCCTCGACAGGCTTGGATATTGACGGCTCCTCATATGCAGTCTCGAAACTATGGTCCCCATTTTTGGGAAGCCTAACTTGGATGTGCCCCTTCTTCCCTGAAAAGGGGGACTTGGCCATGTCGTCAAGAATACGCATCAACATAGCCGCATGGAAGAATCGAACCCAGGGCTGCCTTCCGCCAATGTAGCTGTTACCCCTCAACCCCGAACCTAGAATTCGCAAGAAGTGTTCCGGTTCGAGTTTGGGGTTTAGGGAAGCCCTGAGAACGCATATTATGAACTGTATGACTAATCAGAATAATCTGAATGATCTCAGTAATCTGAATCGTACTCAGAGTATGAATCGTCGTGTTCGTAACATTAACAGGAGAATTGGTCTTATTCAGCGTTAGTGCTCTTGTGGTATGTGCAGTGAGGCCCTGGCAACTCCGAAAGAGTCGGGCTTCGAGGAAGAGGATCGGCCAAGGGTTCAGGGTTCAGGGTTCTGGGGTTCAGGGTTCAGGGTTTAGGGTTTAGGGTTTAGGGTTTGGGGCTGTTAAAGGGGGCTTTTGGGTCTTGAGGCCTTGTGGGGTTGTGGGGTTGCGGAGGGCTTGGGGGTGCCTTGGCTGATGGTTCTTGCAGGCCTCCTGCTTCTGAAGCTGGGTTGCAAAACTCGCAGTGAGACGTAGCTTAAGGTTTCGAGTGCTTTGGGCCAAAAGTCGCGGACTTGGGAGGTTCAAGGAGCAATCCTTGGATCCCCCACAGACAGCTTGAACCTTCTTCGCTCATTTGAAGCCCAAGAATCCCCAGATCCTGCACACCCTCCGGCGCCCGAGCCAGGTGCGTGTCCTGAGTATGTTCCGCCACCCAAACCTCGTCACCCTCATGGGCTTCGCGCGAAATGGCAACCAGCGCTTCCTCGTGTGCGCCGCATTGAAGCCTCCAAGAGCACCCCGAACCCCCACTGCCCCTCCGCATGTTCGGGCTTCGGTGGTGCCATGGGGTTTGTTGAGGGGCTTCAAGAGTTGCGAGTTTGCGCCTTTAGCTCTTCCTTGTCAAAAAAGGCTTGAAAAGCAGAAGCTCCACGTCTTTGCTCAGCATGCAACCCCAAAACGCTCTGGAAGCGGCTTGTGAGGCTCCGGAGTGGGGATCTGCATATCTTCTGTTCCTGTTAACTGGGACCTGGGGACCGGCTTTCAGTCATTGGCAGATTTTGAGTCTGGGGGTGCTTTGAGTCGTAGGTTCGGGCCCGTTGCAGGTACGAGCTCATGGAAGGGGGTGATCTCTTCAACCGCCTCTACAACTCGCGAAAGGGCCGACAGGAGACCTCTAAGCTTCGCCGCTCAATCCCCAATCCCAGAATTCCACCTTGGGTTTTAGGATGGAGATTCATCCCAGCTCAGAAATCGCACTTCTTTTTCCTTGCAGTACAAGTAGTAGTAGCAACATGCCGAACTTCTCAAAGATTTGGAATAGCTTCAGGTTGTTTCAGGACGACTCGGGAATCCAACCAGATCCCAGCCTGAGAGCCCACATTCCGAAACCCCCAAACCCATTCTCGGTGTCAGGGTGTAGGTTTGGGATTCAAGATGTAGGCTGTCGGTGGAGGCCCCAACCCGACACCCGAAACCGCCCCTTGCATCCCACGTGGGTAGACGAGGACTTCCTTTGGCGAGACCGGCTCTGCGTGGCGTTCGATGCAGCCTGTGGCTGCCCGGATATCTTTGGAGCGTCAGGGCCAGGACTTTTCAGGCGATCTAGAGCTAGGGAAGTTGGGGGTTTGTAATTGTGTTTTGCAGGGCTTCAGGCGCTCTCTGGACGTAGGGATGCAAGGCTTCAGCATGTAGGGATCCAACCTTAAACGGGCCCCGTCATCGCGAGGTTTTGGGGTTTTTGTGGGGATCGTTATCGTGCCCAGAGTCGGGATCGGGATATTCCTGGAGTTTCAGGGTATACACTTGCATCTGTAGATGGAGCCTCACTGTAAATGGTGTCTGGAGGAGGGCCCCTACACAGAACCGAACCCTGCAACAGCCGGACCTTTCCGAAGCTTTCGAGGTTTGTCGCATTTGCACTTCCAGACGCCCAAGGCGCTCAGGGTGTTTGCCATTTCAGGATGCCTTAAGGCCTTAAGGTTGTTCATAGTTTACCAGAATGCGCGAATGCACGACGGGCTTGAACTTGTTTGAGTTTAGTGCAGAATGCTACAAATTCTTGGGGCACTGCAAGGCTGAGGAGGTGCGTGTTTGGGGTGAGCTTGAGCGGTAGGAGGGTGTTGATCAAGCTTCAGGCCCGGGGTCAGAAAGCCCTGTATCCTGAGGTGTAAGGGGTATTGTGGGATTAAGCGCCGATCAAGTCCGGCCAAACCTGCACTGAAAGCCCAGTGTGGCGGCGCAGCCGCAACTAGAACGCCGAACTTTGACCACGCCCTAAACCCCAGACCCCCTCCGTGCAACTTCGGCCAGGTCTTTCACCGAGACATCAAGTCCATGAATATCCTGCGAAGCCGGCCTGGTTACGCTTTTACCGTTCAAAGTTGTGGCCCGCGTTTTCAGGTTCCCTGTTACAAGGTGTGGCCCTTGAATCCTGCAGGGGGTACCTCAAGTGTAGGCCAGGCTCACAGCCAGGGCTGAGATCTCGAGGATGTTTCGCCCGCAGCAAACGCCCCCTAAGCTCCAGACCCATCCTTCACCCTAAGCTTCCTAACCCCCTACATGGGGTCCTTTTAAGCATTGACCCGGGAAACTGGGTCCCCTTTTCCGGGGGGGGGGGGGGCCGAAGACGAAATTCGAAGACGAAATTTGAAGACGAGATTCGGCCCAGCCGAAATTAGGCCCTGAAGACGAAATTCGGCACTGAAGACGAAATTCGGCCCCTGAAGCCTAAATTCGGCCCTGAAGCCTAAATTGGGCCCTTGAAGCCGAAATTCGGCCCCGCAGACGAAATTCGAAATTCGGCCCTGAAGCCGAAATTCGGCTCCTGAAGACGAAATTCGGTACCGAAGACGAAATTCGGCCTGAAGCGGTTTCGGTCCCCCTCAGGCCTGCATAAAATGGCCCTGAATTTTCGTTTTCGGAGCCGAATTTCGGCTTCAGGGCCGAATTTCGTCTTCAGGGCTGAATTTTGGCTTCCGGCCCGAATTTCGTCTTCAGGAGCCGAATTTCGGCTTCAGGGCCCAATTTCGTCTTCAGCGGCCGAATTTCGTCTTCGGGGCCGAATTTCGTCTTCGGGGCCGAATTTCGGCTTCAAGGGCCCAATTTAGGCTTCAGGGCCGAATTTAGGCTTCAGGGGCCGAATTTCGTCTTCAGTGCCGAATTTCGTCTTCAGGGCCTAATTTCGGCTGGGCCGAATTTCGTCTTCAAATTTCGTCTTCGAATTTCGTCTTCGCCCCCCCCCCGCGGACTCACTTCCCCGGGTCTCTCTCCTTTTAAGGGCACCCCCTTCTAAGGCCCCCCCCCTTTAATTTTTCATGAGCCCCCCCCCCTCCCCCCCAGGCTCTCCCGATCTGGCACCGCCAAAGTGGCAGACTTCGGCGCCTCACTCGGAGCCAACTATTCACCCCAAGTTCGTTCCACAGGAAACCCTGTAAACCCAAGTAGCCCCACACGCCGTACAAAGGCCTGCTTGTAAATCCAACTAAGCCCGAAGTTCAGTATGCGAGGTCAGGAACTCAATGCTGTTCTGGAAAATTTCATGCCCGGCAGCTCACAAGTCAGAGGCACAACCGTCATGGTGAGTTGAGGCTGAGCCGTGCACATCCTTAAGCCCGAACTCCACTCGAACCCAAAACCCTAGACCACCAAGCACTACATCCACAACCCCGCCCCCCAACCCAAGCCGTGAACGCCCTCAACTCTTCGGCGATACTGCGCGGATACATGTTGTTCGTCCCGCTTTGATGCAGCTCAGGACCTTAAACCCTAGACCCTAAACCCCAAACCCGAAGACTGAAAAATGTCCTTTGCTTCCGCATGTGCAGAAAGTCTTGGACATGCTTTTGTTTAGGGTCTGCCCCCAACCCTAAACACCCAAACCCCCCCAAACCCCCCCTACACTCCAAACCACTAAACTATATGAACCCAAAATCCCCAAACATTAGACCCTAAAATCCTGAAAGCCCCGAACCGCCCCGAACAGCCCCGAACCGCGCCGTTTCGCCCCGAACCGCCCCAAAGCGCCCCCCCAAAGCCCCCCAAAAGCCCCCCAAACCTTAAACCCTCAACCTTCAACCCCCCAGTCCTCAACCCAAAACCCGCAATCCTAAACCCTAACACAACCCCAAAACCCCAAACCCTACACCCCATTTGAGGCTTGGCCTCCATCTCCAAGAAGCGAGGGGCGCATCGCCCGGGGAGCTTGGCAGGGACTCCAGGCTTGGTGTCGGCTTTTGGGGGCTTTTGGGGGGCTTTCTTGGGGGCTTTTTTGGGTGCTTGTTTTTGGGACCTTTTGGGGGGGCTTTTCGGGGTTTTTGGTTTCTTTGGGCTTTTTGGGGCTTTTGGGGTTTTTGGATTTTTTTGGGGCTTTTTGGGGCTTTTTGGGTTTAGGGTCTAGCGTTGGGGGTTTGGGGTTTGGGGTTTAAGGTTTGGGGTTTAGGTTTGTGTAAGCCAGGGTAGTCGTCGAGCAGGTAGCCCTCAAGTTGTCTTTTGGTTCGGTAACGCCAGAGGTTAACTGTTACGTCCCCTGGTGCAAAAGGGAATTTTGACATAGGTTGTCGTGGGCGAACCCGAAATCCCCGCACTTGACCAGTTCGACGTTGTCATTTTTTCCATCATTTGCCCGGTTTGCAAGCTTACAACCCCCATCGAAGCTGACAGGCTACATGTGCCCGATCTACGCCGAGCTCTCAGACTTGATGTTCAGGGGTTCCCTGGAGCTTTGGGGGGTCTCAAGGATGAGTTGATGAGATGCATCTTCCTGATCTCCTGGTGTTTTTGAGGTGGTTCTGGGGCGGGGTTTTGGATACTGCAGCAATGATGCCACACCCTGGACATCTCAACCCATGCTACTTGAAGAGCGCAGGGCTGAGGGCGGGGTTCCAGAAATCCTCGACTCTGCCTGGCGCGTGAGTCGCAGCTGGCGGCTTCCACGGTCTCCGTCTCCGTGTCTCATGATCTCTTTCTATCCTCTTTGTGCCCTGGTACAGGATGACAACGCAGGACCCCAACATCGAAGCCCTCTACTCCCCAAACTCACTCTGAAACTACCCTAAGATGCTCCCTGCGTGCCCTGAGAACCCTGAACTAAGAACCCTACTACGACCTAAATCCAAAACCCTGAAACCTCGAAGAACTGATCCGCCCCCACCCCCCCCTCCCCCAAACTTAAGCAAAAGGACCAAAGCCCACATACCCAAAGGCGCCCAAACCCCTTCATCAAGGAATATACCTTAAACTATTGTAGGATTCCCATTTATATTCAAGAGATATTCCTTAATTCAGGGTTTTTTGGAGTCTCTGGGATACCCATGCTGCGCTTGAGGAGAAGACTTGCGTAATCACGGAGCGCTCCGAGGTCGCTAAGGGGTCTGCATCTTTTTTTAGCCGGGGTTGAGAGTTTCGGGTTGAGGGTTGAGGGTTTTAGGGTGTTAGGGTTTTAGGGTGCTAGGGTGTCAGGGTGCAGGTTGATTGTTTACGGGGTGGCTGGAAGGGCTTTGCTGGGAGTTCGCGTTGACTTTCGAGGAGGCTTTCGGGTGTCAGGGGCTCAGGGCTCAGGGCCACTAAGCCCTGAACCCCCTCCAGAAACGTCAGCTGTCTTTTCATTTGGTCAGCTTTGTTTGAGAACAGAACACCAGCTTGCGCCGTGCAAGTTGTTCTGCCCTGCCAGCTTCCTTGTCTTACCTCAAGGGTCCCCCACATGGGCCTGCGTCCGCGCCTTGCATAAGACTCTCCTTCTCTGAAGTAGGCATGTGAGATAGGAAGCTGTTTATTGAACCGTACTGGTTCTTCGTAATCAAGGAATTAAGGGGGAGCTTGGGTCGATGTATCATGGAGGCTTTTTGTTAAAGGTTTTTCACAATTCTTTCTTGTTCCGGATGATTGTTTTCTCTTCCGGTTCTAATTGTAGTACTGGTAGTATTAATCTTATTAGTAGTACTGCTAGTCCTACAACCCTAAACCCTAAACCCTGAACCCTAGACCCTAGACCCTAGACCCTAGACCCTAGACCCTAGACCCTAGACCCTAATTTTAGTAGAACCCTTGAAAAACAAAAACAAGCCCCCAACAAAATGAAAAGTACTTCTCCGGCCCTGTATCATCCGTAGAGAGACCCTTTCAGCTCGAGGGTTGGTAGCGCTCAGAAGCTGTGCCGCTCTTGCAGTTCTCGGAGTTTGGGCACCGAATCCCCAACGCCCAAACTTGCGGGCCCATCGGCCCTAAATCCAAACCCTACACCCTGAACCCCCAACCGCAAACCCCAAAACCTAAACCCCAACCCCTAAACCCTAACCCCTACCAACCCCTCCTGCGGGCATACTTGGCTCTCCAGCTGTAGTGGGCCGGAGGCCCTTCAGCAACGGCCCGCACACGTTTGACGTTAAGCGGATTGCCAATCCAGGGTTTTTGGGGGGTCGAGGGATTGAGGGGGGCTATAGGGTTTAAATGGATGGCTCAGCTTGTTGTCTTGTTGTGTGTGGGGGGGGGGGGGCAGAATGTCGGGGCTTCCTCAACGCCATTTTTTTGGGCCCCCTTCCCTAAACCCCTACACCCTAACCCTGAAGCCCAACAACTTCAGCACAGTGATTCAAGCATTTCCAAGCGATCCGTAACCGCGCCTTCCGCCCCGTGGCTGATCATTTTGAAGGGTGAGGGGTTCTGCTTGTTGATTTGATCGGCCGCAAATGCCCCCCCAAAAACCCAAAAGACCATTAAATCCAAAAACACCGCAAAAGAGCCAAGATGCTCAAAATCCCTAAGCAATGGGTTAGACTGAGCAGAACTGCAGGCCCTCTTTAGCTTTTCCCCTCTCTCTGTGTGTGGGGCGGGAAGGATTTGGCGACCAAAAGAAGCCTAAGGCCCTTAACGAATTGTCGCTCAAGAATCGGGTTTCAACCCAAAGCCCCAGACACCCGACTAGACCATCCCCCCAGGCCTCAATCTTACGAACCCTAAACCCTAAATCCTCTACCCTAAACCCTCAACCCTGAACCCTGAACTCGACATAGGGTTTTACGGCTGCACAGGATTCCGATGAGCCCTCCTCGGTTTTAGTGTTTGAGGGTTTGATGGGGTTTAGGGTTTAGGGTTGAGTATAGGATTCCGGATGTGGGGCTGAGGGAGTGCGGATTTAGACCACGTGTCGTTCAGAATAGAATCCCTCGGAGCACTACAAACATTCGCAAGTCACCCGAAAACTTTGAGCCCCTTAGACGCGAAAGCCCAAACGCTAAATCCCTTTGCTCGCAATCGCCTGAGGTGCGTCAGCTTGAAATTGGAGATGATGCCCTTCCCGGAGCGACGGCTCTTGATTGAGTGACGGGCGACCCGGGGCTTATGGGGTTTAAGAAGGGTTTGAACAAGGGTTTGAACAACGGTGTTTAAAGCAAGGGTGTGTAAAACAAGTGTTTCTAAACAAGGGTTTTTAAACAACCGATTCCCGGATATGAAAGAACCGGTGGGGAGGATTCACTTTCTGCTTTCCTCCTCGTGTTCCTCCTCGTGGTTGCGGAGAAGGAGCCTCTTCCAGACAGTTCAGAGTTGGGGGAGCCCTCACACCCCACAAAGCCCTGAAGCCTCCTAGGCGCCCCAGGCACCCCAAGCCCGGACCCCAAAAACAGGAGCCCTAAGGCCCCGATGAACGCGCTCAGGGTCTGGGGCTTGAAGGCCCAACCCTAAGGCGAACCCTTAACATCTCCAACGGGCATTGCGGGAAAGAGGACGCCTTAAGCCCTGAACCCTGACGGCCCCACACACTCGGCAGCTTGACCGCCAGGAACGGCGCTACTTTCTGAACCGCACCGCGCCCATGGTGGAACTGCCAGCGCTGGCCTGAGCTTGAGGACTTGGGAGCGAGAAGCCACAAAACCTGCCAGCCCCAAGCCGCCCTAGGGGTGTTAATCCCTTGACCAAACCCCGAAGGACCAGCTCTTATTTCCTGAGCCGCAAACCTTACTTATTTGTGCCCTCTGTGAACTCATGTTGTTTATTGTGCTTTTCTTATTGTTGACGGCTGTCTTTCTCAGCGGGCCGGAAAAGGTTTTGGCGGGTTGTCGCCGCTGGCTCCTCGCCCTACCCAGAGTGAGGCCGAGGCCACATTGAGTTGTTTCCCTCCACACCGGTGGCCCTGTGTGGAGCTGCCATGCTTCCGGCAAGTTTTTGGTTGCCCTTGGGGCAGCCAGACAGCCCAGAGCACTCGGTGACACATGTGGCCGGATAGCATGGGGAGGCCCTTTGACTTGGTGTGCAGAAAGTCGCCATAAGTCATAAGCCACCAAAAAGTGCATGCCCTATTCGAAGCCCATAAACCGCAAACCTTGCTTGAAATGCACAAGCCTTAACCCCAAACTCAGGTGCCGTCGCCGAGCCATGAGGCTGCGCCTGGAGTTGGGGCTGAGGGTTTGGCTTCATTTTTGAACACTTCCCAAAGAAGCCTTCAACACGTCAACGGTACACCTGTAAAGCTGCCATATATCTAGGTGAGTTTGTTGATGATGCTATTGTATTTTCATGACTCAAGACCTTTTTTGGGGAGAATATTAACGGGTGTTTTGGGTTTAGGACTTAGGGTTTCGGGGCTTGGCGGAAGCCGTGGGCTCATGGGGGGGGGGGGGGGGGCAGTATTTGAGTTCCTGAGATACTTGGGTAGTTTCATGATAAATAATTAAGCAGCAGAACCCCAAGGCAAGAAGTGGCTCAGCCTTTCATCCTAAGGCTCTCGGGCAAGCTCTAGTCGGGTTGAGGATGTAGCCTTGTTGGAGGTCAGGCAAGCTACAGACTTCGGGGGTTTCGGGTTTAGAGTTTCGAGTTCGGGCTTAGGGCTTGACCCTTATAAGAAGGTCCCGCAAGAGGACCTCCAACGTAGATCCGCATCACTTCATGAGCCCTAAACCCCAAACCCTTGTTTAGACCTTACAAGCCCTTCGGGAATGGATGGAACGAATGGTAGGCTGAGGTTCCATATAGATGGCCAGTTTTCCAAACTGCGGCCCTGCCCCAAACCCCCAAACCTCCCAAACCTCCCAAACCTTCCCAAACCTCCCAAACCTCCCAAACCTCCCAAACCTCCCAAACCTCCCAAACCTCCCAAACCCCCCAAACCCCCCACCCTGCAAACTCCTAAAACCCCCCAGACACTCCCAGAAACCCCTCAGCGCTATCGTGGAGGTGATGGTTGAGGCAGGTCGCCAATTCCGGGCGCTTCGTCGGCTCCTGGGCACGCACGCCTGGAAGGGTTTCGGGTTTCGGGTTTAGGGTTTCGGGTTTCGGGTTTCGGGTTTAGGGTTTAGGGTTTCGGGTTATTAGGGTTTGGAGGGACTTTTCGGCTCCGGGATGTTTAGGGCTTAGGGACGTTTCGGGCTAGACTTAGGGATGCGTAGAGTCTATTTTAGGGATGTTCAGGGTTGAGCCGATCAAGGATGTTTCAGGTTAACTTAGGGATGTTTAGCCTCAACTTAGGATGCTCAAGATAGGTGACTTTTACCCCCAACCGCGTGGATGTGCTTTCAAGGTTGGCGCATGACACTGCAAAGCCGTTCAACTTAAATCCTGCCCTAAGCCTGTTGGCTGTATGGGTAGATGCAAGATGATTTAAGACATGTTGGGGGCTCATGGGTAGCTAGAACTGCGTTGCACGTAGGCTGAGATCCTAAACATACACATGAACCTTCAATGCTTCCTCAGTCCCTCAGCCCTTCAAGCCCCGAAGCCTACATCCCCCTCTGAACCCCCGGCCTGACAGCAGGAGGCCCCAAAACCCGATGGCCCGTAGCCCGGAACCACAATCACAGTGAACACCTTGCAGCAGGAATATGCAGGAACAGTACATCGTCTTGGCTCTCATAAGAAGAGGTAAGCCTGGGCTAGGATCGTCTAAAGCTCCTGAAGCCTCCAAGAAGACACGAACCCTGAAGCCCTAAATCCTGTGAGCTGAGGAGCCTAATTCAGATGGTCATGGATGTTTGTGGTGTGTTGGGCATTCTGGTGCTGACTGCATACACCGTCCGCATCATCCTGCTGGGCAGGGACAGTGCTCAGGGGTGAACGGTTTTAGGGCGGCTGTTTTAGGGCTTCGGGTGTGTGTAGTAGGATGGCTCGCTCGTGCTGCGCGCATCCGAGCCTGTCGCTTACTTCGCTCTGTTCTGGACTCCCTCAGACGTGGGCGGTTGGCTGCATATCTAGGATGCGAACAGTCCCTGACTCCTCCAAACCCACAAACACCTGAAACCCTCAATTAACCTTGAGTCTGAATGAGACTTCAAACTCCCTAAGAAAAGCGCCCAGAATTCAGATCCCTTCCCTCCCTCTCCCTCCCTATCCACATACATCCAAGGGTACTGCAAAATTACGCCTGGTGTGCTTGTATGAGCTTGCGCAGGACAGCCTGTCTTGTGGTGAAATGAGCCACGTGGTTCTGCTGGTTCTGTGGTTGCTGACGTGTTCAGCTTTCCACACAGGACTGGGTGGATTCGCGAAAGGCCCGAGACCCCACCCAGTACACTTGGAAAGCTCAAGGTATATTCGTAGAGCTTCTCTGGAAGGACGTTGTCTGTCAGGTGAGCTTATGCTCTGACTTCGGAGTCAAGATGGGGTAGAAGGGTTTGGGATGCGGCTTTGCCTTGTGTGTAGAACGACTGAAGCACTTGTCTCGGGCGATCAGGAATGTGAGTTGTTTGGCTGGTAAGCTTCCCAGCTACCACGCGCCCAAACCAACATCTCAACACCGGAGCCCTAGACGCCAAACCCTGACACCCTGCCTGCAGAGTTGATGTGGTGTTTCGGTTGTTTGATTGGCCCCATCCTGCCCATGTAATCCCGTAGGCCTAGCCCCCGAATTGAAAGCACCAAACGGCGTAGTACTAAGCGACAGGTAGTAATTTAACTTCGCGCTGCAAGTTGTGCGAGTGCCATCTGAAGATGTCGGGTGCAATGCACGGGCCCCCGAAGCTTTCTAAAGGCTGAGGCCTCTTGCACTGCCAGGCTGCGAAACCAGATTCCCAGCTGGTTGCTTCAGCGGTGCCACGGATACCTTTAAGCCCCGAAGGGACGAATCCCGAAACCCAAGAACCTAAAAGCGGCTCGGAGCTGCCACCCGTTTCGTCCGACAGGAGTTTTAACTTATGGCGAAGGCCAGATCATCTTCCTCATGCCTCCTGGCCGAAGGAACCCTAGACCGCGTGGCCCTTAGAGCCCTAAACCCTAAGCTTCGGGATTTTAAGGGGTTTAGTCCCCACCCTCAACCCTCAACCCTAAACCCTAGACCCTAGACCCTAAACCCTAAACCCTAGACCCTAAACCCTAAACCCTAAATCCTAAACCCTAAGCCCTAAACCCTAAACCGTAAACCCTAAACCCTAAACTCTAAACCCTAAACCCTTAACCCTAAACCCCCACGATTTTTGCAGGTATGTTTTCAACCTTCTCACCCTCGGAATGACGGTTTACATCGATGAGGTTGCGAAGCCAATGTTGGAGCTCCTCCTGCGGCAGATAGACGGGGGGATGTGGTAGGATTTGAATAGAAGGGCCTCTAAAGCACGAGGATGGAAGGTGTAGCTTGCAGAAGCTTGGCCTGAACCTTAAACCCTCAGCCCAAAGTCCTTAACCTTAAGTCCAGGCGTGTCGGGCCTTGGTGTGGTATTGTCGCAACCCGAAGCCCTCAACCCTAAGCCTTTTGTATACCCTACAAACCCTAAACCTCTACGGCACCCCCCCACATCTCCGCATCCGAGGCCCATGATTCTGGTGGGCCGAATTGTTGGCTCGCTTGTTTTTCTTGACTGGCGGCACGCGCGGCTCGTCTCGAAAGGAACTCGTTGATTTTGGTGCCTGGCGCTAGGGCACGGGCTGAGCCTCCAAAACAGTGCCGCGCTGCCATCGGCAGGGTCAATTTTTCAGAACCAAGGATTTGCTGCAATTGTCTCTTCGCAGCCCCTGGGCGGACATTTCGGGAGCGAGCGCCTGATGCTTTGTGTAGCCGAGCGCCCTAAAGCCTCAACCAGACTCCACCCTCAATAAACTTGACCGCCTCTCTCGCTCTCGCTCGCCTTTCGTTTCTCACGCCCTCCGGCGATGATTTTGTCCCTCTGAGGACCCCAACAGGCTTCGGCCCCAGCCAGCTTCAGCCCTGCAAAGCCTAGTCGCCTGCTCTCGAAAGCCATCCAATGTAAGTCGCCCTGAACCTGAAGACCCTGACTCCTGCAACCCTAAACCCTAAACCCTAAACCCTAAACCCTAAACCCTAAACCCTAAACCCTAAGCCCTTAAACCGAAGCCCAAAAACACCTTGAGCTGCTGCAGGCGCGGCGATTCCAGCAGCGGGCGCACGAGGAGTCCAAAGGGCTCGTGGCTTTGACCCATGAGGGGAGGTTCTTGGAGGCTATGAGTAGAGTTGCAAGTGGGGTAACTCCAGTTGTACCTTTTTTTCTGAGGTACCTACATTCCTACTTCTAGCTACCCATGAACCTCCCTAAACCTCAAGCCCTAAACCCCAAATCTAGAGCCCTGACCAGGTTTTTTGGGGGGGAGGACCATCCCTGAACGCTGTGAGGGGATTGTTCCCAATGTAGGTTCCCTTCCAGATCCTTGGGTACTGTCTATGCTAACACAATGAGCCCATGGCGTGGAGGACTTCGCACAGCTCGCGAACAGCTTCGTCTCTGAATTCTGTGCACCTTTTGCTGCAGTTTGGGTTATTTTCGCGTTCCACAGTTCTTCGCATTCGAAGCCCGAACAAGTGTCAGGATTTGGGGCTTCGGGTTTGGGGGTGTAAGGCGCGTAGTCCCCTTCGCAAGCAAAAGCCCTAGAACCCCATGAATCCGAGACCCCAGTGCCGGAAAGACGGGGCCAAGGGAGTATAAGCCTCCGAAGCCGTGACCCTTAAATTGAATGAGCCCAATGGAGTATGCGTTCCCAAGTCCCCCCCCTTCCGGGGGCCCTCAACACCCTTAGGGTTTAGGGTTCATCGCCCCTAAAATCCTGGAAGCCCGTAGCTCTAGGCACAAGTTAGATGGCACGTCGATATTCTGCGTACCGCAGCGATAAGGCCGACAAGGTGTTCTTCACAGCCCTGAGATTCTTCAAAAGAACGTAGCATGCTCTGATATCCTGTGCAGATCATAAGCAACTGCTGCTGCCATAAGCGTGGCCAAGATTATGGGCTGTCGGCTTACCCCGCGAGACCCCAACCTCGAGCCCCAATCCCTAGTCCCTATTGGGGCCTTTGTGGAGCGACCCACATTTCGACACCTCTTTCCCCCCTCAGGTTTGCACGCTCATCCTGATCGTTCCATGGGCCCTGCAAGTCTTGATGCAGCCACCTGGCCGGAATGCTGGGCCTGGAAACCCCCAACCCTAAGCCGCAAAGCCCTCTTCCCTAAACCCCCCAAACTGCATGCCTTAAGGCCCAGCCCGAAACTGAAGGATTTTAGGTGTCGGGTCTGGGAATGGGTTTGGGCTTGAGTTGAGGGTTTAGGGCTTCTTGAAAGTGGCGCGGGTATCATGGACAGCATTTCCACCTTTGGAAGCTCTTGGGTCAGAATCCGTCCCAAGGGTTTAGGGTCCATGCCCTTCTCTCGCGTGTCCGACGCCAGAACCCTGAACGCTCTTCCCTAAGCCCTTACGCCCTGGTGGTCGGCTCATGGTTCTCTGAGGGTTCCACCAAGCGCTCCCTTCAATGTTTATTGCGCTCCCGCCGCCGAGGAAGTGGATTAGTATCATCGTGGCAGCCTCCGATTTGGACCGGCCCAGCCCAAACCCCCCTCCTAACCCTCAATCTACCCCTTCAACAGTCAAGATCCCGAGCTCCTGCGACGAATCCAGGGCTTAGCTTTCAGGGTTTGGAATGGTTGAGGAGTTCAAGCCCCAACAAGAAGGTAGGCAGGCTGCTTGCTGAATCTGACTCTTCAGCCACACATGAATGTAAATTAAGGCCCGCGTTCGGCCTTTTTCTTTTCCAAAAGGCCCGTCCCAACGATGCTGATCAGAGCAGCCCAGGAGGCCCTCAACCTGAAGTCGCATTCTGAGATTAGCAGGTGGAAAACTGCCATGGGCCAGTGGTTTTATAGTTAATGTGATGCAGATGGGAGTTGTCGGGTTTCAGACTCCCCAGACTTGTTTGGGTGCTGCCGGTGTTATACTCTCTGTTCTTCAGGATGTGACAGCCGCACCCATATTAAGACAACTGTAGAACAAGGTCCCAGGCCCTCACCCTAAACCCTAAACCCTAAACCCTGAACCACAAACCCGAAACCCGAAACCCCAAACCCCAAACCCTAAGCCCACACTCCCACACGCCCAACCCTGCACCTTGGAGGACATGGCCCTACGAGCGGCCAAAGCCGTCATCGCCAGCAGCTGTGATGCTGAGGCATCCCCAGACAACCCATTATCCACCCTTGGGAGGGAATATGAAGGTTTACGAAGATGAGGGACCGCTACAGAGGGACCCCCAAATAGTAGGAGTCACTTGCAATGCAGACCCCCAAGAAGGTACCCTACTATGGGAAACCACCCTATTGGGGGTTTAGGGTTGGGGAGGAATCTTCCTGAAGCGAATATGGATTTGATTGCTTTCTCGTGTATGATTCCTTGAATTGTGGTAGGGATCCTGGTGTGATTTACGATGCACTCCTCCCTTTTTACAACGGGCCCTCTGGCGTGCAGATCAGTTCTTATTTCCGGGTACCTGGATTCTCTTTATGCACGTACAGGACAGGGTTGAGGGCTGAGGGATCTAGAAGCTAGGAACCGGCAATTCCCCAACCCGGTGTATTCTACTTCCAGAGATGGTGGCTCTTGTATGACGCAGGCTGCACCCTAAACCCTAGACCCTAAACTCTAAACCCTAAACCCTAAGCCCTAAACCCTAAACCCTAAACCCTAAACCGACCCTATGTATGGACGAAACACATTGTCCTGCAGTCTGCCCTGAGCTTCATACTGGGTGCAATCCTCCGGCGTTCTTAAGCCCTGGACTCCCGCACGGCCATTGCATATCACATTGAGGGATTCTCTAAACCATGGCCCTTTTTGGGGGGTACGATGAGAAGGCGGCCCCTAATATGTAGGGTACCCCGACCGAACAAAAACTACCCTCCCCCTCCTGCCTTCCTATGCTGTCAACGCCCAATCAACGGCAGGGTCGGCCCCAAACCAGTTGCAAGGGGTGATTTAGGGTCGAGGGGTTTGGGTTTAGGGGGTCTGGGTTTAGGTTTGGCCCTTAACCCTTAACCCTAAACCCTAAACCCTAAACCTTGAACCCTAAACCCTAAACCCTAAACCCTGAACCCTAAACCCTAAACCCTAACCACCCTAAACCCTAAACCCTTAAGTGATGTCCACAGGGGTTCCGGGGACCCGGGCTCTTAGAGGCAGAGATGACCAGCGACCTTCGCTTGCACCAGGTGTCCTTTAAGTTGGCTCACATGCGCCGCTCGCCACTTTCAATAAAGGGGGGCTGTTCTTATAGGGTTCAGGGTTGTTCAGGGGCTTTAGGGGCTTTAGGGGGTTCAGGGTTTTTTAGGGGCTTTAGGGGCTTTAGGGGGTTTAGTAGGGGTTGGTGAGGGGAGTCCTTGGGGTGTAATAGGGGTTTGATAGGCATTGGATAGGGGTTTTACGGGGCCCAATAGGGGTTTACAGGGTCTGGGGTCTTGAGGGGTTAGCGTTAAAGGGGTTTCGGGCTCACGGCCTTTCGGCTTGCTTAGCTGACCTTTGCTCTTTTGCGGGATGCGCATAGGAACCCCGGAGCACTACACCCTTGGTTCTTAACACCCTAAACCCCCTAAAGCCCAAAATGCCAAAGTTCGGAGCTCCCAGAACCCTTGTCCTAAACCCCCAAGCTCTAAACCCTAAACCCTAAACCCTAAACCCTAATCCCACAACAAGAGAGACTCCTCAACCTGCGGACCTCTCGGACGAAAACTCAGCCTCCCGGAGCCTCTTCAAGAAGCATCGGGGGCCCCCGAGAAGGCACCTCTCGGCGGGGTAGACAAAGAGCCCATCGCCTGGTTTCCTATACATACATACATACGTACCTACATACATACATACATACATACATACATACATGCGAAACTTCCATCCGAGTTGGCCAGCAGCCGAGCGAGCTCGAGGGAAAGCACTTCTCAAAAATGCTGCAAGAGGCTGGACCATCCACTGGGTAGGATTTCGGGTTCAATGGCCAGGCTAGGGTTTAAGATGTTTGGGTGTTTGAGGTGTTGGCCTTCAGGGCCATTCTTTTTTTTGAGTTTGTCTTAGGGTTATGGGATTTAGGGTAGCTCCCGCATCCCAAAAACCTATGCCGTTCCTCCCCTGGCCCTAAGTCCTAAACCCCCCAAAAGCCGCCTCGAAGCCGTTGAAGCCATTAATATAGGGGGTCGGAATCATTACTCATGGTAATTCCCTTAGGGTCCCTGTAGAATTAACAACCAATTGGCCCCTATATTACATCGCCCCGAGATGGGCAGGAGAGCCGCCAGCGCTTCGAGGCCTGCTGTCAGGCCGCGAGGGCGCAGGCGGTGCCCTGGCCGAGGCTTCAGGTTGCTCTGCCTTTGGACTTTGTTTTTTTAATTTCGGGGCAGAAATATCCTGACTCAGCAGCATTGTTCGGGTGGGGCAGGTTGTTCTCGAAGCGCCTGGCCGGATTGAGTCAACCCTCATCTAGGGGTCGGAATAAGGACTCACAGAATTCCCTCATGTTCCCTTTGTAACTATACTATAATAACCCCCCAAAACCCTATTCTTGTTATTAAGGCCCCCGGCATTAAACGCCCTGAACCGAGGAAAGGACTTCCCAGCCTGCAGCTTCATCCGTCATTGTCACTGTGAATGCCCGGAGTGCCAGAAAGGCGCGAGCGCTTGTGTCTGGGTTTAGGGCGCCGAATCCAAGAATGCCCAAAGTTTTGGCTGGAGGCGCTCTGGGAATTTCAGAGGCAGCAAACACCAAACCCTCTGGAAGCTGCGGAGGCTCCTACCCATCACTCAAAAAATAAGCTTCAAGCATGCGGGGGCTCATTGTCTTGTTTAAGAACTATCTTCAAAAACGTTCTCTGGGCTCCGACCTTGGGGCGTAAGCCTTAGGCCCCAACCCCTAATGACGCGGGCTCTTTTGCTGGACCTTGGAGGGCTCCGCTTGAGTTCGGGTACATTATGTTCAGCCCGAAGCTCTTGGAGGGCCCGCATCCACTGACGTCAGAAGTCTACTCTACTTCGCAACCAGGGCTACATGTAGACAAACTCGTATGTCAACATATTATATATATATATATGTATTATGGATGTGTATGTATTAATATGGAGATGTAGATGATGTATATGTATGTATGTATGTATGTATGTATGTATGTATGTATGTATGTATGTATGTATGTATGTATGTATGTATGTATGTATGTATGTATGTATGTATGTATGTATGTATGTATGTATGTATGTATGTAAAACAAGAGAGAGAGAGAGAGAGAGAGAGAGAGAGAGAGAGAGAGAGAGAGAGAGAGAGAGAGAGAGGGAGAGGGAGAGGGAGAGGGGAGAGGGAGAGGGAGAGGGAGAGGGAGAGGGGAGAGGAGAGAGGGAGAGGGAGAGGGAGCGGGAGAGGGAGAGGGAGAGGAGAGGGAGAGGGAGAGGGGGAGAGGGAGAGGGGGGAGAGGGAGAGGGAGAGGGAGAGGGAGAGGGAGAGGAGAGGGAGAGGGAGAGGGGGGGGGGGAGAGGAGGGGGGGGGGGAGGGGAGGAGAGAGAGGCGAGGGAGGGAGAGAGGGAGGAGAGAGGGAGAGAGGGAGAGAGAGAGGAGAGGAGGAGAGAGAGGGAGAGGGGAGAGAGGGAAGAGAGAGAGGGAGAGGGAGAGAGGGAGAGAGAGGGGAGAGAGAGGAGGGAGAGGGAGAGAGGGAGAGAGGGAGAGAGGGAGAGAGGGAGAGAGGGAGGGAGAGGGAGAGGGAGGGAGGGAGGGAGAGAGAGAGAGAGAGAGCCCTAAGCCCAGCAGAAGAAGAAGAAGAGAGAGAAAGAGAGAGAGAGAGAGAGAGAGAGAGAGAGAGAGGGAGGGAGGGAGGGAGGGAGAGGGAGGGAGGCAGAGAGACGAGCCTTGGGCTGTACTTTCAACCCTGTAAACCAGAAAATCTACGCCCCTAAGCTCTGTAACGCCTAAGCCGTCACCCTTGACCCTAACCCCTGACACCCTCATCAAAAGCGGCAATTTGAGGACGTGGAAGTTCGAATATGCAACCTCTCCCCGCTGAGTCAAGGCTTCTTGGACTTGAAGTTCAGGGTTTTGTCGCGCCCCCACCCACCCCCCCACCCCGGTTCTTGGGTCTGCAGGACACAGCTTAGTGCTGTTGTGTTTTGGTGGGGGTTAGGGTTTGATTCAGGGTTGACATGAGGGTTTCGTTTCTGTTCTGTTCTTTCAGGGCTCAGGGTGTACGAGGGCTGGAGCTTCCTTGCTCGATGGGCCCCGGGTCTAGAGTCTAGAATCTAGCACCCGAAACCTCGAATCCAAGAGAACCCAGCATCGAAACCCAAACCCTAAACCCTCGCACCCAACGCCACAAAACCCAAAAAACCCGTGTCAGCCCTGACTCAAGGTGGAGGCAGGTACATCGCAGCTCTCTTGGAGGTGGGCCCATAGTTGGGGGCGCAGTTCCGGGATTCTGGCAGTTGAGGATGGACCCAACTCCCTCGTATGGAAGCAGCCTGGTCAAACAAAGCGACTGTGTATCTAATTGGGGACTACGTTGGCATGTGACCCCGGAAATTACCTAGGCATGGAGTAACCCTTTTGGGGCGAAGGCACTTTCATTGAGGGTTTCAGGATCTCGGGCTCAGCGTTGAGGGAGGCTTGGAATGCTTCAACCCAAGCCCGAAGTCCTGTCTAAACCCGAAGCCATAAGCCCTCAACCTAAGACCGAAACCCGAGCCTATCGCCCCTCCTCGAGGTGGGTAACAGCCCAGAAGAAGCTCCTGACGTGCTGCAAGAAGACGAAGCAGGCAAACGCGGCTATTTCCTGGTTGTGTTTGAGTTTTCTGTTCGACCCATATGAGCCTTCAAGTCCATATAAGTGGACCCTCCCAGAGCCTTTGGATCCTGAAGCCAAAGCAACTGAACCGTGAATCTTGGCCCCCAAGCCCTAAGCCCTCATCCTTGCATGCAGCCTTTTGTCGACCAGCCTGCGTGATGCAAGCCCCTACCCAACCTAAGAGCAGATCTGCTGCTCTTGGCTCTCAACAACCCTGTGACCTGGACCCTAAACAGCCCGCTGATCCTCAAATCCCAAGCCCCCAAAGCCCAAAGTTACTTCACCTCCAAAGCCAGACACGCTCAGATTCGTCGGCACTGATCAAAGAAGTTGCGTGTACTCCAATGCCCTGGCCTCAAGCACGGGAACTTGGCGGGCGTGCAGTGGCTTTTTAGAGTAGGCTTGGGCTTTCCAGGTTTTTGCGCTTTGATTTTGGCCTATGTTGGCCTCGAGCACTGAGGCGTAGATGAGGGAAGCCCAAAAACACTAAACCCCAAACGCAAGCTACATGATGATGACTATTCGTCTCTATGAATCTATCGAGCTAGCAATGTATCTATACATATGTACATGATTTTCATAAGGTATATAATGTGTATAATGCTTACAATGTGTAGATATACGCACATACATGTGGTGGTACCACTCAGGGTGGTTTTTGGGGTGTATAGTGCTTGGAGAATGGGAGTTTGCACCATCGTCGCCGCCGCCGCTTCAACGATGATTTTTAAAAACAAGAATAATCTTCGTCAGCGCTCGTCGTCATCGCCGCCGCCATCGTCGTCGTGGTCGTGGTCGCGGTCGTCATCACCAGCATGGTCATCATCGTCGTCATCTCCATCGACCTTGCCAGGGTCATCGTCATGTTCGTCGCCGTCACGGTCGTCATCATGTTCATGATCATAACCATGATCATCATCGTGATCATGATCATTATCATCATCAGGGTCACTATGATGACCAGCGTTGTAGAAAAACTCCGGCAGAACTGCAAAGGGGTCCGACACCCAGAGCCCCCAACCGTGCGCGCAGCTTCCCATCCGAACATATGCGGCTCTCCAGGAGTCGCCCTCAGCCCCACATCCCAAATCCCCCAAGCCCCTGAACCTCAAGCCTCAAAAATTCCTAGATTGGGGAACCCGAAGCCGCAGGTGCACTGGGCCTGGACTCACGGCTGAGCTTCTGGAGTCGCACAGCTGGGTCAGGGCCCCTGCATTTTGTTAGGGTTTAGGGTTTAGGGTTGGAACAGGGGGGCAGGTCGAGGCTTCAGGGTTTAGTTGGTTAGGTGGGTTTAGGGTTGAGGGGGTTTAGGGTGCAGAGTGTTAGGGTTCAGGGCCTTTGGGGTTGATTGGGTCGAGGGTTTAGGGTCCGGAAGGTTTGTGTTATATAGGCGAGTTCGCTCCTCCGCTCAATTAAGCTCTTTATGCTCGTAGTTCACCTCTGTTGTGACATGGTCACGCGAATGCCGGGCTATGCTCACTGAAGCACAGACTACGCAAAGCGTCAAAGTCAAAATGTTTGTTTGTTTGTTTGTTTGTTTGTTCCTTTGTTTGTTTGTTTGTTGTTTGTTTGCTTGTTTGCCTAATCTGTTGTTTCTCGGCTTCTAGGTTGGAGCACCAGTGCCCCCTTTCTAGTTTAGTTTCATCTGTTGACTTTTGCGTGCCTCGCTTTGTTTCTGAAGAGGGGTGACTATTGCAGTTACTAGCCAAGCAAATAAAACTGTTCTTTGAGGAGAGGAAGTCTTCAACAGTTGACATGGCAAAAGGGTGAGAGAATGAGTTCGTTTGGGGCACCGGAGGGCTGGCAGCTTGGACGCTCCAATCCCAAGTAATGTCGCGCTGGCTGAAGAAGTCGGACCCCTTACCATGCTCCATCTGCACTCAGGGTTTTCGGGTTTCGGGTTTAGGGTCGTCGATTTGGGGGATGAAGCAACCTCCTGCAGCCTGCCAACAAAGCAATCCGACTCACTAAGCGGCTCAGCTCCAACATACCTCAGAGCCTGCCTTTGTGGTATGAATCGAGGCAGCCCTTACGTATCCACCGTCGCTGTAACAGGGCACCTGAGCCCCCAGAACTCAAATAGCCCAAAAAGCCCCAAATAAGCTTGCAATCCCCCAGCCTTATGATCCCCAAGCCCCAACATAAGCCCCAAAATCCCGAGGCTTCGCGAAAAAACCATGGCCCGCCGTGCCGCACTGGTGGGGCTACAACTTATCGGTTCCTGGGGGAGTTGGGGAAGAAAGGTTTTCGCGGATTGGGGGCTTAGGGATTTAGGGTTGTAGGGTTGCTTAAAGTTCAGGAGCCTAAATTTCATCTAAGGGACTACACTGCGCACGGTATCCAATGCCCGAAACCCCTGCAACAACACAAGCTGGAACACGTTGGCGCGCAAGGATCCATTGAATGACAGCGAGGGATCAGCAAACTGCGCTCAGCTTACTGCCTAGACCGTATCTCAGCTCTACGGCGGAGTCTCCTTGAAACAGGATTCTTACAAAAGATCTTGAGCTCTTGTAGCCCCGGACCTAGTTGGACCCTGGGAGTGCATTGTTCGTTTCGATTTCGTGTTTGGGGATGCATGCATGAGAAAGTGCCTGACCCGCGCTTTTTCAAGCGTCCTGACATTTACCTTGTTTCAGGCCACGCAACCTGCATTCCTTAGGATTAGGGTTTCGCAATCTAAGAGTTTTTTCATCGATAGCTTGATTATCGTATCTTGTCATGGCTCCCTGCTCCTCACACCCGAATGCTGGAGACAACTTGCGTCCCCAAACAAGGCCTCGCTGCCATATGGGGGTTTCCGGAATAGGGGACCCCAAATAGACCACCAAATTGTGGGATTCCCTTGTTTTAAGGGCCCCAAGAATGTACCCATAATTTCGGAAAAGTCCTGAACTTGTTCCCTCTTATTGTGGCCGTCTTAAAGAAGGATTGTTTAGCAAGCACTTGTCAAGATGGGGCGCTATTGTGGCACCTCAGACCTCTACAGAGGAACATCCCAAGCCCTTAGCCTCAAGCTTAGAAAGCATCAGTCGGGGTGCAGGCGTGCCGTTCCCTTAAGGTTCATGGGTAGTATTGTTGTGTTTTTCTCTCCTGGTTTTCACTTGGATAACCTGTGTTGTCATTGGTTGTAACCTTATTTCGAAGGGGGGGGCGGTGGGGGGCACTTGTTACTGCCTACGAACCTTCAAGAACAGTTCAGGTTGCGGGTTTTAGGGTGTCGGGTTTCGGGTCTAAGGTTCAAGGTTTAGAGTTCGTAAGTTAGGGTAGAAGGTTCAGGGATGTAGGACCTGGCCCTTATCATTGCAGATGCATCTCCCAAACTCAACACAACTCCGAAGCCTCAGACCCTAAACCCTAAACCCCAAACCCTAAACCCTAAGCCCTAAACCCAAGACCCCAATGCCGAGGCAACCTTTCCTGCTTGTCGGAGGTGAAGGCAGGGGAGTTCAGGAGGTTCGTGTTTGGATTTAGGGCTTGCGGTTCAGGGTTTGGGTTTATAGGGTTTAGGGTTTAAGGTTTAGGGCTTGGGGTTACCGGGTTGAGGGTGTACCTAAAGTATGCTCACTGAGGGGAAGCTCCCGTATTAGTACCCCTTGTTCTCTAGGCAGAGGTTAGCGTAGAGTTTTGAGGATTCAGGGTTGAAGCCAAGCCCTAAACACTAAACCCTAAACTGCGCCTTTAATTTGGAGTCCGGGTGTGGAGGCTAGGTGTGGTGGACGGTCTTTTAACATGGTCATCAAGCCTGGATGTTCAAGGGGTAGATGAAACCTTCCACCGAAGCCTTGAACCCTCAACCCTCAACCCTATCCCTAACCCTAAACCCTAAACCCTAAACCTCTCTATCACTCTAAATGTTAAACACGAGTTTGGCGTTTAAACCCTCATTGTTCAGCACGAATTTGGCGTTTTGACGCGTCTGACCCGTTTGGCCCCCGCATTGTTCAGCACGAAACTGGCGTTTTGACCCGTCTGACCCGTTTGGCCCCCCCATTGTTCAGCACGAATTTGGCGTTTTGACCCGTCTGACCCATGTGGCCCCCCATTGTTCAGCAGAATTTGGCGTTTTGACCCGTCTGACCCGTGTGATTGTTTGGCCTCTTGGTGCGTCTTCACAGAAATTGAGATAAACTTTTATTTGCTTAACGTTGTGGGATTATTTGGGCGGGTGGGTTTTTGACGTTGCCTACACACACTGCTGGCCTAGTAAATGCTCGAACTTGAGATGCTGAACCCTAAACCCTAAACCCTAAACCCTGAACCCTGCACCCTAAACCCTAGCCCTAAACCCTAAACGGCCCACAGCTTCAACTGAGAGCTCCGTCGCGTGAGGTGCTACTGGACGCACAGACGTTGGAGATCCAGGACATGCCCTTTCTGGTTTTGGGGAGGTTTGTTAGGGTTCAGGGATTGGGGTTGGGCTTAGGGTTTAGGGTTAGGGTTTAGGGTTTAGGGTTTAGGGTTTAGGGTTTAGGGTTTAGGGTTTAGGGTTTAGGGTTTAGGGTTTAGGGTTTAGGATTTAGGGTTTAGGGTTTAGGGTTTAGGGTTTAGGGATCATAGGGTTTAGGGCTGAGGGCTTGAGGATCTTTCGCGGAAGCGATAGGCCCTGTGGACCACTGGTACCCTTGTTTCCTTTCCATGCTGTTGGGCCTTGAAATCGTTTCGCTTGTGCCGCTAAACCGCAGGGAAGCCCAACTTCTTCTGTGTGAGCCAGGGAGTGGCCTTGAAAGAACAAAGTAGGAGGTCCAACAACAACACTTAGGGACCCAACCTCGAGGCCCTACATCCTGAAGGGCCTAAACCTGTGCAAGGACATCCACATCTTTTTGAATACAAGCCATTGGAAGAAAAGCCTGGGCCTTAGTTGCATGGCTCTTGCCTCTGGACTGCCCCTCTAAGCCTGAACGCCCTAAAGCGGGTTTGCTCACGAAATCCAGTTTTTCAGGCCCTGAACTCGAATCCCTAAGCACCCCGACCCTAAATCAAGGAGAAGAAGCCTTAAACCCTATGCATGAAGTTCTAGC